TCACCATCAACAGCAATTACTTCTCAAATAATATTTAAGCCATGTTTATTTATTTTAGCAATGAAAGAGGAGTGTTAAAAATACCATCAACAGAAGGATAATTATGATGTGATTAAAAAAAAAATGAAGAGAGGCAGGCCAAAATATGTGAAAATACACTCAAAACCACTGTTATTCGCTCTTTTATAACCTCTGCAGCCTCAACTACAGATACCACTTTTGTATTCATAGAACTGACTTGCTGAAGGCATTTTAAATATTCTGATTTAATTCTCAAAGTAGGAAAAATGTAATTATTTCAAAGGAATCAATTTTTTTTTCTATCTATTCTAATTCACTTTCTTTCTGTTATCTTCTTTCAATAAGCTTTAAAAGACAAACCCACAAGAATTATTTACATGCATTTCACACAATCTGTGAATAGACATTTAATGCTTCTGAAAGAAGTCACTGTGGTATCAATGCAAATTATTAATTTATGAATGTGATTTTCTAGTTGAATTTAATGTTTTTATTATCCTGACTATGCACCGTGTCCTGGAATACATATGCAAAAGTATGCCTTGAAGCCTTTCAAAATTCCAGCATTAAAGGCAAGTAATCTTCCTGAAGCATTCGTGGAAAGGGATACGAATGGGATAGAAGTATGGCTATAGGTCTCTTTTATATTCCATGTTTAAAAAGGATGAAATCTATATAACCTAACATCTGGATCAACAGGCAGTTACGTTATTTACTGTTGTTAAGTCTTCATTGAATATGTTCCTCCCACAAAGGGCTGTAGAATCATAGAATGAAAGATTCGTTAGAGTTGGAAGGAACCTTTAAAGATCATCTGGTCCACATTCCTGCCATGAACAGAGACACCTACAGTTTTATCAGACAGCTCAGAGCCCTGTCAGCCTGACCTTGAAGGTCTCCAGTGATGGGGTATCAACCATCTCTATGGGCACCATGTTCCAGTGCCTCACTACTATTATTGTAAAACATTCTTCCTTATATCCAATCTAAATCACTTTTCTTTTATCTTGAAAACTTTTCCCCTTTCCCTATCAGAACAGACAGAAAGATCTATGGAAAAGAGGGCAGTTTTTGTCTTTTTTTTTTTTAAACTTGGATTTTACAAAACAGTTTTTACAACCTGGAGATTGGTCAGACCTTTTCTACAATATTTAGGAAGAAAAAGGGATTCTGAAAACTGCTCTGATTATTTTGAAGAAGTAGGGACTACAGCTTAGGTCCGAAAAAGTAAATAGAATTGGAACCCTTCCTACAAAATGGTTTGTAACTGAAAAATATCATACAGCCCAATTTTGATGAGAGGTTTTATAAGATCATTAAGTTTCAATTGTTATGCTAAGAGCAAGCTTTCAGTTTTAGGATACATATTTCAGTCAAACTGAGATTCCTGTTCCTCATACAGGTGACATTTCCTTGGTTTGGGCACTTGGTCGTTATTGCTGCCTGACTCATGCCATCTGCATTTGCCAAGTGTGTAAGGAAGCTGCCATACTTATAAGCAGGAACATGATAGATGGAATGATAACATTAATCTTATGAAAATTATTAACATAGAGATCTAACAGCATGTAGACAAATTCATTTGGCCTTGTAATGGATACCATAAAGATTCAATAGTTGTCTAATCTTGCACTAAATACCTCTCCTGTTATGAATAAAGATAATAATGCAGTTCTAGTCCATCAAAAATATTTTTTTCCCTACGTTGGCAGTAGCAAGTAGAAACAAAGCTTAAAGAACCAACAAAAATAATTTAAAGTCGTATATCAAAAATCAATCCTTTTGATTTTCAATGGCACATTATAAAATTAATTTTGAATGTAGACTATGTATTATGCTTACTTATGCAAATAGTTACTGGGTTACTCACTGTTTGTGGTCTCCCTCTGTCAGCACTGCAGCTCAACACCACGTTCCACATGCTTAGTGCACTTTGTTACGTATATATGCTGTTTTCCCAGTACAGGATAGCTCAGTCTTCAGCCCTGAACACAAAATGATAATTGTGGATTTATGCTACAGAATAATTTGGCTTTATTCCTTCATGAAGAGTGGAAAGATGTGTAGGTAAATAGATGACAAACACAAAAGTCACCATGAGCAAAAGAAGACCAAGGAGTTGTAGGCTGCAAAGAAATTTTGGTGTAAATACGGCAGTTCAAAATTAAAGAATATAATTTGTAAATGAAAACATTAAAAATTAATGTTGCTAATGTTAAGAACAGAAGAGGAAAATGATTTGTAACTACAATCCAGTGATTTCTAATTTCCACTTTGTATTTTTTTATATGAAGACCATAAGGCACCATCTAATCTGTAACCTGCCATTGTTTTACCTTTGCCTCTTCTTCAGCTCTCAGAAAATCAATTTTTGAAATAGTCTGAGCATGTAAAATTTAGAAATAAATTACACTGGTAAAATTTTTATACTGACCTGAAATTACACACCAAATCTTTCTTTCCTTCTTCCTACACAAACAAGAGTAGAAACTCATAGAAGAAACTTTACTATTAGCACAGAAGCCTGATTACAAAGGGCAATTACTAATTTTGAAGTACACAAGAAAGGCATGACCTGATTACAGCATCGTGATTAAGATACAGATATAGATTAAGATTAGGATGTACTGATATGACCGGAAGAGCAAAATTAAAGTCACCTTTCTAACAGCTAGTGATTTACAAAAGGTTTATACTCTGCAGAAGTCAAGCAAAGGTAATTCACGTTTTACTTTTATTCTGAAACATTTAGGTTCATACCATTGCATCCATTTCTGTAAAAGCTAGGAAATTGCACACCTTTAAAATAGTGGCCCTTATCCTGATTCTGAAGCATTTGTACATGCATGGTTCACTTAATATGACTCTGAACTGATGAGTTATTCACAATGTTAAATCAAGCACATATCTGCAGGAGTCAAAAATTATCAAGTCTTTTTTCAAAGACTGGTGCCACTTTGATTTTTTTTTTCAGTATCTGAAGGAATCTTTCACAGAACTGTTAATGGTGCTGAATGGTCATTCTCAGACAGTGAGAAGTATAGTTGGAGCCAGACTCTTCTTTCTAGGATGAGCAGTTCCTTTGCCACAATTAGACATTGAAGCACCCTTCGCAAAAAACAGTCATTTCTTTAACAAGTGACACTGAACACTATCCCAGCCTAGAGCAGCTTTTTCAGTTTGAAATACAAAAGCAGTCAAGTCTCAAAAACTTCAAAGAATGCTTTTCATTTTCTTTTCTCCTTGATCCACTGATAGAGCAGTTCATTTTCTTGAATTTTGTGAAATGACTTTTTCAGTCATCAGACCTGTGTAACAAATCACTGTCTCAATCACCAAATGCTCCCATTTGACTCATCTGCTTTGGCTTTGGCCTTTGGGTAGGAAGCCTCATTTCTGTAACATTTTCTAAATTCACTTTTGTGAACTCTTCTCCTTCAGTTGCACTGTGCTCCATTTTAAAAAATAATTGCATTTCCTGCAACATAATGTGTTAGTCTCAGGTTTTTATATTTCACCAGAACCCACATTTTCCTTCTTACATAGGGCAATGTCTTCTTTTTAAAAGCACAATTTTATAGCATGCGACTACTATAATTTGTGGTGCTTTTTAAGTAGTAAATGCTACAACATAGCATTTGTACAGAATTCTTAGTTTCATTCTACTAACTTAGAACTGCACTAAGGCATTTGTACTCTCATGTATATTGCTTTGCTTCTTGTAGTCAAAGACTTCCTAATTTCTGTTTTTTTTCTTCTGCAGTCTGCTCTAAAGACAGTATCTCCTTTGAGGAAAACTCTAACAAGACAGACTGTCAATAATTCTAATCTTTCACAACATGGAAAATGCTGGAAGGATATCAAGTTCCTTTCCTCCAGGCTTTTTCTGCCTCAGAGCAAATAGGCCAACTTCGCATAGGTTTGCCCTGCAGGGAATGTAGTTAGTCTTTTTCAAGGTGTAAGAACAAATCCTGTAATATGAATTATATTCTCAACCAGCTATTTACATTTCCAGGTATTCGATCCAGTGATGTACAAATCAAAAAGCTGCAGAAGCTCAGAGCACAGTAGTCTCATCTGCAAGGCTGCCCCAGAATAGCACACAACGGGCTGGGTTCACATCTTTGTGTACAGAGCCCGACTGGGAAAGAAGTGCTGTCATTTCCCATTAATAGTGATGCAGCTGAGTTGAGCCTAATCACTTTAACTTTGTTTTTATGTAGTCAGTTTTCCCATTTTCTTGGGAATTGTATGACAATTGCAGATTTTAGCCTACTTCCTTAACTGCTAAGGTTAGGCATCAATCTTCAAAAGACAAATAAATCTGAACAGCTATGTTATTAAAAATGGATGGTGAACACTCCACAGAAAAGGAAGATAGAAGAAAAAAAAAACAGCTTTTGAACACCACAAGAACAGTATAAAGCATTTGGCCCTGGAGAAATAAAGTCAGAGCCGTTTGATCAAAAATCCCCGAATTCTAAGTGAGAATCAAGGGCTCAGAAACGCACACAAGTTTGACAAGATTCAGATGGTCAGAGGCCTTTTGACTCCCCAAACATCCTTCTCCTGCCCCTACTCTACTGCCCCTCTGCCAGCCCATTTCCATCTGTGTGTTTCCTGGGCGCGCTCCCTCAGCACAGCTGTGCCACTGTGCTCTTCCTGACCCAGTTGTTCATGTTTCCCTATCCTGAAGTTTCACCCTAGCTCTCACTTCTCACAGTCTGTGGTCATCTCTCCACGTGGTTCCCTGCACGGTGTGCACGGCTCTCCACAGAGCCTTGGAGCACCACCAGTAGGGAGGCTGAGGCTGGAGAGCAGAGCCAAGGCCTGGCAGCACTTGGGGCAGAGCCCTGAGGCTGTGTGTGGGAAGGGCTGCGGGAGGGCTTATGCAGCTCTGTGTATCCTCTGGCTTCAAGCAGCCAGCCCTGCACGGAGCAGAGAGCGCTCACACACCTGGACCTGCCCACAAGTCAGAAATGAACCTGGATACTTTGTTCCAACAAATTGAGCTCACAGGAAAGAAGGCAGGAGAGAAGAGGCGCCTCATACAACAAGGTCAGCCGCCATCTTGCATGTCCCGCAGCGTCGGTCGCTGTAAATGGCCTCTCCGTATTCCAGAGCATCCCAACAAAAGTGGAGCGACACCACTGTAAAATCATGAGGGGAATTTTGCTGGAAAAGCTTTTCAGGCAAACGTTCCGTGACTTCTTGCCAATGCCATTGCTTTGTAAGAACAGAACATCTACAAACTGACCACACTTGCTTACAGGTTTTCCTTGTTTTGCAGTTAAATTTGACATAAACAAATGTAATGAAAAAACTAACCAACTAAAAGAAGAGCTGAACACTGCAAAGATAAAATTAGAAACTAAGGTAAGTAGGAATGTTCATAGTACAAATAAGAAATACATTACAAGCCTATGAATTATTCTTGTTGGAAATAAATTCATGAACACTTTCAAGGCGTATGCTTCACCTGCTGGGATAGACAACATTTAGAAAATGCACAGTCTGCATTTCTGTGATGATCACTGCCAGCGAATCTATGTGCTTCTTGTGTGCAAAGGTCTGTCTGTAGCTTTCATAGAATCATAGAATCACCAACGTTGGAAAAGACCTAAAAGATCATCCAGTCCAACCGCTCACCTATTACCAATAGCTCCCACTAAACCATGTCCCTCAACACAACATCCAGTCTTTTTTCCTCACCAATCCAGCCCTGCAGGCTGGCTGTGTGCTCACTGCATTGCTCACCTCAGGGTAGGCACATGCCCGGATAATATTCCAAACCCTGGGAGCACAAAGACAGCAAAGGTACAAGAAAGCCATGCTCTCCAGAAAAGAGCTGGGCAGGGAGCACATGAGCTGTTTGGGGATGGCGTGAGCATTTCTTGGAGCTTCTTAGAGCATTTTTTCATTTAAAGGATGCATTTATTAGAGGTTTGGAAATCATTCCCGTGTTGCCCACTGCCATTCCTTAAAGGGCTTATTTGTTTCACAGACAATATCTGGAAACATTTACTGTATTTACTTCACAAGATCTTGAGTCATATACTAAAGATCTTCCTGTGAGCCTGGGCTCAGCATTGTGCCAGGCCTTAGAGTTTTGCTAGGGACACTCTAGACCGGAGAAAGTTTCCAAACCTATTCAACACTTTTAACATTTTATTATGATTTCTGTTTAACCAAACTGCAGTCATAAGTTTAGAATAACCATCCAATTTTGCAGAGCTCTTTCACCATTAATACCTGTAAGTACAAATGATTTAAAAATCCATTTGCTTGTTGCCTGAAAAATGAAGTCTAGTTATCATCCCCATGTGTTTATGTATCCGTGCTGATGGAATGTATATGCACAACAGGAAGCCTTACGGAGTCTTCTTTGAAGTTAGAACTGTTGTGCATTTAAATAAACGTCTTCAAGAACCTTCTGGGGATTACCTCACATAGATGTTTTGAGGACGATTATTATCTTTCCAAAAACAGATTCTTCTGTAATTTTTAAGGGATATTTTATTTACATATAAATATATACACACATAAACATTGCTATGACAGGATCAGATAAAGAAATTCATAAACAAATATTCACTGGTTGTAAAATGGGACTATAATCTTGCAAGCAGTTGGTCATGTATTCATGCCACGAAAGACCTTTAACACAGTAACTTATTTAGCCAACACATTATATCTGAGTGATGTTTGTTAGATAAAGCCTTTTGTAGTATTGCTCCTACATTTATTTATGAACACTATTTTATGTTTATACTGCTAATTTGTTATTGATGCAGTGTGATTTACAATCAACATTTACGTGGAAGGTATAGAGCACCTGAAGAGAAGAGCTATTATTGTACATGACTAATGGGAAGAGCTGAAGAACTGTTCCTAATTAAATCTTAAGTGCCTTAGCCGCCTAACATTCTATCTGGTATCCACAAAAATCTATTTTGTTTGCCTGTTTATTCTGACATTGATTCATTTTTAAATAGAACATGATACAGAAAATAAGTGGAATGGAAAAATGTATTGCAATCAGACTGCATTTATGCTTAAAGATTACATAAATATTGAAATTATTAAAAGCAATTTATTTTTCAGTACAGGAATTAAGTTTACATGTGTCTACAATATTTAATGTAATTCAAATAGCATTAAATAATGTTGTTCAGTAACGCTGTTTAATTTGTCCCACACCAAATAACTGCACTTTAAAAGCACGGATATCCAAGCATGTACATGCACAGGGGCTTATGCCTGAGCAAGCAGATGAGCCTGAGTTCAAACATGTTTTGACATCTATTTCACAGAGACTGCCCGTGGTCAATCAGAGGTTCCCAGGAAATGCTATTTATTTTTTCTGTTCAGTAAAATCAGGTAGCATGTAATTAGAACCTGAATTATAGCATTTTGCCTTTCATGCCTCAATGACTTCTTCAAAAAAAATCTATTCCAAATGCATAGATTAAATAGGCATCTTGCAGATGGAGAAGCTACACTGCAGTTAGTTATGTTCGGTAATATAATTACAGAGATATAAGACCATCTATTCTCTTAGAATTAGTATGCAACATAAATATTGCTGAGGCAAGCACCTCCTTGATGCTTAGCATGCCAGACATATCAGGAATGAGGAAGTCTGGCCCTTTCCTGTCTGATTGTCTCACTCCAGTCTTAGCACATTTGATTCCACTGTCCTCCTCCTTTTGATATCAGATGCACTTCCTCTGTGCTCTCTCCAAAATCATCTGTATTATTTTTCAAATCTTCTGATTTTCACCTCTAATATCACTACCCTTTGGTTTTTCTGTTTCTGCACGTGCAAACCTATGTAACACCTTGACCATCTAGTTTACTTGCTGATACTCTGTGCCTCTAAAGTCTGCTAGCAGTTCTGCAGTTAACTTTCTTTTCCCTAATTGTTCTGAGTATTACAGTCTGAGTCATTTTTTCTCCAGTACGTCAAATGAATGATTCTCATCCTCTAAGACTTTTCAACACTTAGCTGTTCCCCATTTATCTGCTGTTATATTTTCTCATCTGATATCAACTTAGGTTAGATAATGATGCAGAAGATGCAATGGAAAATTGAGAGGAATTCTTTAGCAAATTCTGAAAATGCAGTGGTTGAAAGGTATATTTTTCTATCAGATAAACTACTGGTTACAATGTATAAAAATATGTTTAAAACCATATTCAAAAGTAGAGTGTGAGTTCTGGGAGAGCTTACAGCCTTTATTCTATCAGTAGTTTTACTGTCACACTTCTTTGGCTAAGAATTTCAGCAACTGTCTTGAGAAAAACATGAGCACCTTTCTCATCCTTTCTCCTATGCAATACTAGCATTGCAAAGCTAATCACATATGCAGCCATTCAGATAAATCCAGTCAGAGCAGTGATGTTGGACCTCCATTCCTCTGATGTCTGATTTGATACGAGACGGCCTGTATGCAGTAAGACGTAGGCCTTTGTGTCAAGGTCGGATAACAGATTTTGTGTGATCAGTATCTTTCCCCTTTTTAACCTGAGATTATTTTATATGAACTGCATTGATTTAAAAATACCATTTTGGGCAGACTGATCAGCAGCAAATTTGTCTTTTAAAGAGAGGACACTTTCCCAAAGTACAGTGGTAAACTGGAAGATTTTGGGTGAAAGTGGGGGGAAGAGCTGCTATGCTTTTTCTAGTCCAGAATCAGTAGCAGCTATGCCAGCTGTGTTTTAACCAGACCAAGATCCTTATGTCCAATATAAAAATATATGAAATAAAACACCAATAACCCTATTTCATAACTTTTTGTTTTCTTTTGGAAGGTTCAACAGCTGTCTGAAAAAATGTTCTTCTTAGAAATTTTGAAGAAACGTGAAGACAGCTTAGAGAAACAGAAAGCTGAACTTATAAACCAGAAAAGCATTCTTCTCCAAAACTTAGTATGTTTCCAGCTATGGTATTCAAGTAGCTCGTTTGTGCTGTAAAAGTTTATGCAGCCATAAATTTTGAAAAAAAAATTATAAATCTGAATAATCAATTTTTCTTTTCACACCAGCTTACTAAAAAATGTAACTGTAGTTAGATCATTGCTTTGAAATTTAAATTCAATTCTCATTTTAATAATCTAAGGTAATATATACTGCAGTTTACCTACAAAGCTGATTTCACATTCTTAATTTCAGTTTCTAATGTCTGCTATTGTGTGACTGAGTTCCATCACTCTGCATTTCCTTTCTAAAAGAAAAGCAGAAAAATCTCACCTTTAATTGGACTGTCTCAACCACTGTAAAATACTGAGAAGTATCAGAGCAGAATCTCAGGAAGGCCAACACCACATTTCAGGAATCCTGGCATTCCACACTATCTCTTTTAAACCAAGAACACTTAACCCCTTTTGAAAAGTAGTTACTGCAGTGTGTACAGGCAACAACATGTTCAGTTCACTGCCATGCTAACCTGAACATTACCTTCCTCTTTCTTCTTGGTGTATCCCTGACTCTTTAAGCAAGGTCACACAAGAGTAGCCCTCTCTGCATATGTATTCATATCTCAAATCAGCAGATCTGAATTTTCAATATTTAGTATGAGTTACCATGAAGTCATTACTTTAATAAAGTAATATTACTTCAACATTCAAAATATTCCCTATCTTAAATATAGGAAGAAAGAAAGAAAAAGAAGTAGTATAAATATCATAGAAAAGTTCCTCTGAAGAAAGTATTCTCTGAAGAAATGTGAATTTTGATTAATTTTAATTGTGAAGATTTGAAATGTGGATAATTGTTTCTTTCTTCCTGTACGTAAAGCTGCTGCTTCTTATTTAATTTGGCCAGCATTTTTTAAAGGAATGTACTATTACCCTTGTCTTTAGGATTACTTTTTCCAGAGAATGAAACAGCTCCCTATCAACCATAGCTGACTTAACAGTTAACAAGGGAAATAAAGCAAGTCTGCACAGGAGTAAACGACGACTTTATTTAGCAGCAGACTGAAAAATAGTGGCCACAGTATGCTACGGACTTTAAATAGAACTTAGCTGTAATTTCAATAATGAGTTGCACGTAAAATACACAACTATATAATTTGACTTAGTGAATTTCAATATTTTTTTTTAAAGGAAGAATATATCCTTCACTCTATAAGGAAAAAAGGTTAAAACAGCAGACAAAATGGTAGAACCGTAGGCCATGTTCATGTTCTGCCAAGTCAGGAAATGTGAATACACAACATATATAAATTTTAAGCATAAGCAACAAGCATGTTTCCATCTGCTAGCTTAACAAAGCCTTCATTTTTTCCACTTAAGCATTCAATTTGTCATTTCTTTTTTCAGACAGATGCAAAGAGAAAAATGACTGAAGAGGAAGATAATTTTACTAGGGAAGTAACAGAGTTTAATGATGAGTATGGACTAGCAAGCAATAGAGAACTTCTGATTAAAAAAAAAGTCAAGACTGAAATAAATGATTTAGAGAATGAAGCTGCTATGTTAAAAAATGGTAAATCTTATATTAAATTATCTTATGTTACTGGAGAATGCAAATCAGTAAAATATAACTCTGCTAAACTATAATTTTAACCCATTCTCCCACTGTCTGAAACCACCTCTTAACACAAAACTGAAAAAGAGTGGCCTGGCATACCACGTTATATAAAGAGTATTAAAACCTCTTATACTCTCCAATCTTTTCAGACATTTCCAACCATGTTTATTTGTGTTAAGAATATGAGATTTCCCAGAAATGAGAGTTAGACAGAGAAGCAATCCTTCAGCAAGGACATAGGAGTCATCACAGATCTCAAGCTGAACATGAGTCAACATCAGAAGACCAGCACCATACTAACACATATAAACAAAATTCTAACTACTAAGATATGCAAAACAATCCTTCATTGTATGTAGGGCAGTTAAATTCTTAACTGGTGCTAAGATGGATGTTGCATTTCAAGAAAAAGCGTGCATGCACTAGCTAGACACAGTCCTCATGGGAACAGTGGGAATGATCAGAGATCTGGAGGACATGAGAAAGGAAAGGCTGAATGAATTGGAATTATTTAACCTCTGGAGGAAGAGTGCTGGAAGATGGGTATCTCTCTTCAAATGTTTAAAGGTTTCTATATATGAAGGAAAGTCATTATATCACTAACGTAGCTGTAAAGCAAAATATTTGTAATTATTTGCATGCCCAACAAACTGAATGTGTCAAACATCTTAGGAACATTAAAATAATTCATTTTCATAATCAGGAATTAATTATATGACGTGTGATTTCCAGTGAACTGATGTTAAGTCAACTACTTTTGGTTATATTTATGGTTCTTTGTCACCAAATGAAAAGATGGGTAAAAGTAGTCAGGAATATTCAAAATTATATCACGAAGACTAAACTACAAGGCCTTTAAATTTAAAATATAATTGTTTGTTTCCTTAGAAATGGAGACAATGGAACATAAGAATGTTCATTTAAATGCGCTCCAGCTGCAGAAGAATGAATTAAAGCAGGAATTATTTACTCTCAAAAGTGAACTCGAAGGTGTGCTTTATAATCAGTTGTTATGATAATTATTTCTGCCTTGACAAATGATTCCAAAAAATCTTTTCTGTCAAGTTATTTTTCTTAGAAAGAAATCATAGAGAAAAGATTTTATATATTTTACATTATGCAATAAATCATTTTAGGATGAGTATAACAAATATAGTGGACTTCATTAAGATTTATGCTGAATGTCTCTGATACCAAGATGTACAGTTTTGCTGAATCATAACCTATAAATATGAAAAATAAAATTCCACTTTTGCTAGTAAAATATTTACTTAACTGGAGAATTAAGTGTTTGAGAGTGACCTTAAAATCAACGTAAGTCTTGTTTAAATACCATTAACTTGTAATTAAAGAATGTTATTAAAATTTTAAATTTTAATAAGCAACAGGATTTAGGCTGATAGAGACAGATGTGGCTGAGGTGATATTGCTCTGATTTGTAAACTCCATAGTTGTTTTCTGACATTTGTGCATTATTATATGAAAGGCAATGCATAAAAAAGGAGCCTACATGCAAGGATGGGGAAAATGTGCTGAATAAACAAAAACACCTACAAAATAAACAAGTAAAAAGACGCAGAAGAAGGAAAAGTTCTGTGTCAGTGGGGCTGACAGGCAACAGAGTGACTATTTCACAAACATGTAAATAACATCATAATAAATGAGTTAGGAAAGATAGACTACATATATGGTCACAGATTGTGTGGGAAAAGGAATAAGACTATAAAAGATTGCAATGAGTGTATCAATTACAGTACTAAAATCATGCATGTTCTTTACTCAGATGGCTTTTCCCTACAAACAGTTAAACAGCAAAAAGTGTTAGCTAAATTTAAAGAATGCAGACCCCCTTTGAATATGGATGATTAACATATATTTGTAAGATCATTATTATTTTTTTAGACCTTGAGAAATTAATCAAGGAGGCTGAAGGAACGATGAAAGATTTAGAAGCAGAAAAAGTCCAAGTGACTGAAAAACCTCAGACCAATCCAGAATGTTTAAGGTAAGATTCTTGTGTTAGTAGATGCTTAAATTTAAGCTTAGCTTAATAATTACAAACCAGTTCTGGTGGTAGTGACTGTTTTATCTTTCCTATGCAATATTCACTAGAAGTCAGGAGTATCAATTGTGTTTCTCATAAGCTGCAAATGCCTGTTGTTTCTTACAGACCTTTACCCTTAACGCATGCTGCAACAAACTAAAAACTGGAAGCAGTTGAAGTGAAGTCCCAGTCAAACTTGGAGGAAGAGCAAACTTGGGCAGTAGGCAAGTTCTTCCATTTTTGGAAGAACAGTAGTGATACAAAGAATATCAATGAAGTACCCCAATGCTATAGGTCCTAAGTAACTGAAGCTTCCACAGGTGATGGTGATAGAATGGAGGGCCCACAATAACCTCTTCAGCTCAGCTGGGTCTTGCATCTTGAACTTACTAAATGCAGATTTTTTTCTTTACTGTTCCTAACTTCAGTTCTAGTGCAACTTCTAGTTAAACTAGTTTAGAACAATATTTTGAAGATTTAAACAGAAGACAGAAGGCCTTTCACACTCTCTCTTAATAGTGAATGTTGCTTTCTAGGAATTGACCTCACACGACTCATTTGTTACATGTTTGCTCAAATTTGACATTTGCATTTTCACCATACACAACAGAATGTAACGTTCAATGCAAAGAAACTCTTTCTAGAAAAGAATTTGCCCAAATTGTTCTCTAAAAAAGTTATTAAGGAAAAAAACAACTTTTGTTAACATCACAGTTTGTTCCTATACATTTCATAAGTTCTTGACTATAATAAATAAATGCAAGGTTTCTTTTCCCCTGAAATCTTTCAGTGGAGAAATAAAATGATGCAGGGAACACTGGGGATTTCTCTGAATGATTTGTTAAAGCCCTATATGTTGCTGAATGCCAGTTTCTGAAAGAAAATGATATATCAGTCCCATTACTAACTCTCTTCACCTCTTACATGGTGCTGAGACATGGCCAAATTTCCTTCAGCATAAAAATTAATTAGCTCACAATTCTGCATACAGTGGCAAAAACTTTGCATTCAACATATACATAAAGGACAATGTAAATAATAATAGCAGTTGCAATTCTGTTGCAGTTGTAAGACAGCCTGTTATAATTCACTCCCTTACATTATTCATTCGATCATGGTATGTTAGGTTTTGTGATATATGAGACTGTCAACTTCTTTCTAAATAACACATTTCCCTTGGAGTAGTTTACTGCCGTAATGCCACTTAATATTCAAATTGCCATAATTAGTTTTCTGTAATGGGTTTCCTGTGTATAAGCTACAGAAGTAGCAGACATTAGATTACTTTAAATCCCCAGCTCTGCCACTGATTCACTATGAGATCCCAACCCATACACGCCTGTCTTTCTACTCAGATCTCTGTGGAACTATACTTTGGTATCCCTTAGGTGGAAGATGCAACAGGAGATAAAATATTCTGAGTTTACAACCGAAGAAAGAGGGATGATGAGATTTTTTTTACTTCATAAAATGCCTAATATTATGGTCAGGATAACCTGGCACTATTTGATAGCTGCACACAGTGCAAAATCTAAATAAAGTGCTACTACTGTTACTGCTGCAGCAGAGCATGTGCTCAGTCAGTGCCACTGGTCCCTCTGCAGCAGATTCTTCAGTGAACCATGCTGTCCACTCCTCAGGGAGGGAAGATTTAGGTTGGATGTTAGGGGGAAGTTCTTCACAAGGAGAGTAGTTAGGCCCTGGAACAGGCTGCCCAGGGAGGTTGTGGATGCCCCGTCCTTGGACGTGTTCAAGGCCAGGTTGGACGGGGTCCTGGGCAACCTGATCTGAATGTGTACGTTTGGTGGCCCTGCTAGGCAGGGGGGTTGGAACTACATGATCCTTGAGGTCCCTTCCAACCCGGGTGATTCTGTGATTCTGTGATTCTGTGAACCTGAGAATATAGAAGCATTTCTGTAGCAGTGGCAAGACAAACTGGAGTGATCCCCAGGACCCAGGCAAACAAGGAGGCCCTCCCAACAGGCTATATGCATCACTGGCTCTTTTGAAGGATCTTCTGCAGCCAAAGTTCTAATTAATACAATCTTAGATACACTATTGATTGTACACACTGTGCTTGAGAAGCAATATTTTGAAGCCTAATGAGACAAGTGTTTTCTTTAATTAAGGTTTTTTCCCCTCTTATGGAATCTATTGTAGGAATGTATTTTTCATACTTACTGAGCACTGCATTTAGTATATGTTATTCAGAGAAAAATTCTTTGACATAAGACAAACAATGTTGATCAAAAATACTTATTTTTTCTGATAAACAAGCACGAAATTTGATTTTCTCTATTTTACTGAGTAGGAAACCACACCACTTTTTAAATGGCTAAAAATACCAATGTGTTTAATGCTTCCTTAGAACAAATGTGAGAGACAGTCAGCATCAATAACCTGATATATGTAGCTCCCAGGCCACCCTGTAACTCTGTTACTGTATCACATACCTAGTCTCAGCTTAAAAATCAATATCAAAAGTAGCTGGCAAGGCAAGAATCTTCATTACAATTAAGTATATATCTTAAAGTAAATTGTATTTCAGCTGAAGAATGTAGCCAGCTAATTCAAATTACAGCAATTTATCTTTGATCTGAGAAAAATGCCTTATACTATATCTGCAGAATCATAAAATTTCTCCCAAATCCATCAAAGAATTACAAAAGGTCACAAGAAGCACACGCTGTTAATTCCAACTATTGGTGCTGCAATCACAGCTAGTTCTAATACATGAGATACTGAAAAAATCTAAGCAAAATTTGAATGTTGAGCACAGATGTAGTTGTGGATAAGGACTAAATATAAAATAAAATTTGGATCTGGGGGGGCAAGGTATGCACTCTTCCAAAAATTGTTATATTTGGAGAAAAAATTAGTGGTCAGGCACTGGAACAGGCTGCCCAGGGATGTGGTGGAGCTACTGTCACTGGAGGAGTTCAAGAGGGGGGCATGGTGGGGATGGTCAGTGGTTGGACTAGATGATTGTAGAGGTCTTTTCCAACCTTAATGATTATTAATGAATCTTAATGAAAAATATATTATGGTTTCTATGCGATATAAACAATTGCATTATATATTATGTTTTTTAAGAAATATAACAGCAGTGAAAATCAGTACTTTCAAAACGCAGCGTCTTAACATCTTGCCTAGAGGGAATGTTTTTCTGCCAAAATCCTGCCAAAGACACAACTTCCTTTTCTGCTGATGTAAGCTGGGAGGTGTCCTATGACCACTAATGATTCTAAAATATGGCAGTGATAATCTTCGTGCCAAAATATGGTAAAAGTAATTAGGGCAAGGATCACTGAACCACGACAGCAAGTTGAGGGAAACAAATCTACTAGCAACCCCAAAATTCAAGTCAGTAATGTTCCTTGAGATCCTTGAGAGTGCTCCAACTTCTTGTTAGATAAGGAAAACTGCTGTCAACAGTACTTCCAATGGCAGAAAAGCATGTTATCTGACATCTGCTGCTATAATCTGCCTATCACTACCTTCTGAACTTTCAAAATTTCACTTGTACTGCCTTGCATAAAGTAATCATGCATAACAGGTGAATAAAGTACATTCTGTACCTGAATGAATCATCCCTAGCACAACTAGGATGTTCCACATCCTTCAATAGTTTTGTTTTTATGTACTTTTGTTGCTGTTGCTATTTGATGCTCTCCAAAATGATTTATTTCAACACTGACTCTTCCACTCCTTTCTTGAAAGACAGAAATGCCCACAAATATAAGAGAACCACATCTTGCACATGCTTTTTATTTTAGAGAATTGCTCACTTTTATATTCTTGTTTAGATTATTGTTCTTTAGTTTATTTTTCAGTTTATTTTATTATTACTTACACACCAAACCTTTGACTTCCAGTTACATTCCAAGCATGTATGTAGAACATACTGACTGCTGCATGTATAGGCTCGTATGTGCAGCATTAAAAGTGGGTTTTTCATCAGAAATGATGATTTCATAGGGCATTTCACATTTTCCTAGGGCAATCTTCAGCGTTAGGCTTTTTCTTGTACTGAACTACATTCTGGTATTGCTCAATTTATTACTGAATTCAAATGAATGGGTCTTTCTATTTTCTAAACTCTTTTCCATTCTTCTTTTCATAAAAGTTCTAAAATGTTACTGAGCATGAAAAGAAAACAAAACATTGAAATTCTGCTATTTTGCTTACTGCTCCTTTCTGTAAAGCTAATGAGAGGGAGGAAAAAAGACCAGAAAAATAAGATACTTTAAGCCAATCATAAAAATTTAAAGAGCAATAAATATTCAAGATTTAAACAACCTGAATCTCCTCAATACTTGAGAAAATAATTATGTAATTAAGGCCTGTTCCAGTTAACAATACATAAACCAAAAATAATTTGTCATTTCAATTCGTTTTATTCAGTCCATAATTTTCACTCAGGAAGTTTTGAGGTTTTTGTTGGTGATTACACCTCCATTGTTAATCTCAGATGCTAAATTTTTCATGGTTGTCAGCATTCTTCGTGCAGTTCTCAACAGCACCATGTGCTTTCTTACTGACCTGAACATCAGTACGTACAAACAAAGCAATAGATGGAAAATACAAAGGCCTACCAATTTCTATTTCTTGCTCTCTCTCTTCAAGACACTTTAACCCCTTCCTCAGTGTAGGCTCCCTAATGTAGGCTCCTCACATCTCACGGTAGAGATGCATCATTCAGAGATTTCTTAAAGAAAAGTGGTCTTTTTCATGAAAGGGATGCAATGAAAATCAAAGCCTTATTTTAATCATTTGCTCTGCCAGTGTCAACCCCACATACAGAACAGCAAGAGAAAACTTTGGCAGCACCTCTCTTGAGTTCCATTTCCTGGGCTGGTAGCAAACAGCACCACTTAAATGGCATAAGACAGAATCAAGCAGAGCCTTTAACTGATGTAAGGAAATACCTAATTATGGCATTTCACTATTATTTTAACTGT